ACGTAAGTTGAATGTTTACAAATCTGAAACAAGTTCGGCTTATCGAAATAGACTTGAAAAACTCTCAGTTACGTAGTCATGTTCATTCTAGGGAAAATGGAAAAAAGAAACCCAAAAAATTGTAAATGAAAAATAAATATCAATGTAATAATTAGATATAACACAATTATTGATCTCTGTAATTTCATTGAATTTTGTTTTTACTTCCTATAATTTTTCAGTATTTTTAATTCTTATAATTTTAGCAAAATTGAGTAACATTTGTTCTTCAAATCTCTAATATGTTAAATTTTAGGGACTATAAAGATTGAAACACTAAAGATAAATTGCGAGGACTAAAAGCAAAAATTTGTTAAATTTATAAGTATTGATAATTTTGTTTTTTCTAAAAACTATTATGTAGCCCCCATATTAAAACTTAAAATAAAAATAATTGTTAAAAAATCGGAGATTACTATAGTTGGGCTATTGAAAAAAATGAAATAGAAAATGACAATTTTTTTACATTTTTTCCCTGGCCAAATACAAATTTTGTTTATAGCAAGTCAAGTGCTACTAAAAATCAATGACAAGTTACAATTAGAAAATGATTGTGTTGTTTTGAGAAATAAATACAGGCTGATATCAAATGATAAGTGCATCTTTGCAATTTTTTTCCCACTCAAATCCAACTAAAAAAAAATTAGCAACTATTTTGTTTGAGTCATTAACTAAAATGAAATAGAAAATGATAAGTTTTTTTTTTCATTTTTATTTATATACTAAAAATTAGTTACTAGTTTTGATTGAGTAATGATTATAATATTTGAAGAAATAATTATAGTTGAATAACGAGTAACAGATTTTTTTTTTTGAAAATTCCAAAATGGGAGGAAAATATATCATTAAGAACAAATCAAAATATCAGATAAATTCTTGGACTACATAATAATTATTTTCTTCGTTTAAAAATATAAAGTATTTTTAATTTTTTAAAGTGTAATTATTATCTTTTTTAAAAGTGTCCCTATTGACAATAACTTTATATTTATTGTAGAGTATTTAATAAGGGTAAATATGAAAAGATAGGGTTAGTTTAAAATAGATAACTATTTTATTGAGATGAGATTTAATTAAAAATGCCTTACATTTTTTAACAGAAAGAGCATCATTGTTTTTGTACTTATTTGTTGAGCACTTGTATATTTTTTATTTTTTTTTCATTCTCCATTCTTTTTGACCCTCACTTTCTGTAATTTAATTTTGAAGATAGTTAAAAAAAAAAAGGAGAATGACAAAGAGATATTAAAAAAATAAATTAATTTAAGTTAAGTGCCAACAGCCAAACTTTAAAAATTTATAACTCAATCTCTCAATTTTGTAATTACGTTGTGATAAATTTACAACTTATTTTTTAAATTTTAACATAACTGAAGAATAAAAATTTATTTTTTCTATTAAAATTTAAAATACAAGTTACAAATCCATTACAATAGAGTTGTAAAATTGAGAGATGGAAGACTTGTTTGCTTTTCATTTTTAAAAAATATTTTATTTTAAAAATAGAAAAATTTAAAAACTTGTTTGGATAAGTGTTTTCATTTAATTATTTTTTAAACTGTTTTTATTTTTTATTTTTAAAAACAAAAAAAATAGAAATCACTTTAAGTTGTTTATTTTTAAAATACACTACATTTAATTATTAAAAATTATAATTATTTTAATTAATTTCTATTATGAACCACTACTGTTAATTGTTTATAATCATTGGCCAAAAAAACTGCCTATAACTATTGTTATTAATTTATTTTTTAATTCTAAAATTGTTTTTTGATTGATATAATCAAACAAATTTTTATTTTGTTTTATTTTAAAAATAATTTTAAAAATTGTATCATAAAATAATATTTTTAAAAATAAAAAATGAGAATAGAAATTAAATAGGATCTTAATTATAAATTTTTAAAATTTGATATTTGACACCTGTTTTAATTATCCTTTTAACACCTCTATGTTATTGTCCAAAAAAAACCTATTACGTGGTTCGTTTTGATTGGCTAGGTAGGGCCACATGTAGGCTTGGGAAGTTGGAACTGTCACAGACGCCAGCAAATATCTTCGTAGTCAGCGCCGCCAGGGTCATGGGAGTTGCTGGCAATGGATTAAGAATGAATTTCTGGATGAACAATGCCATTATTTTGTTCGTTCCGAAGCAGAAGCCGCTGCTTCAGACTGCCATCGTAAAAAGTTCAAGTCTTGGAAAATGGAAGATTTCAGATCCAAGTCTTACGGCCATGGGAGGGTGCAGAATCAAATTGAGCCCTATTCTTGCTCTGGAACAGGATCATTTTCAACTGGGGCTCCTGGCATGCGAGATCTTAGATGCTACAGTGCTTCATATGCTTCCTCTGCTGCACATCCAACTCAAACCCACATGGGAAAAGATATGAGTTTCAAGTCCAAGAAAGGCAGGTCCACAAACAGCTCTTCCTCTAAGAACTGGAGTTTTACTGATCCGGAGTTGCAGAGGAAGAAAAGGGTTGCTAGTTACAAGGTATACACTGTTGAGGGTAAATTGAAAGGCTCTATGAGAAAAAGTTTCAAGTGGCTCAAGGACAAGTACACCAGAGTTGTCCATGGAGTGTAGCTAGATTTCAGTAATCATCTTGGTGAAGAATTTGAACTTTGAATCTCGTCTCAACATGTGCTTACCTCAACTGGCTATTTTACATGTTGATTCAGAAATAATTGGTTGCCCTTAATTTATTTGATGGTCAGAGTTCATGGGATGAAAAGCAGAGAAATTGTGATCAGTGTGTTGATTTTGGATCCTGTAGAATGTAGTCTTCTTGGTCAATCATGGAAAGAAAACATGGTATTTGCTTTTTCTTCTTTTAAATTTCTTTTTCCATGTATCTAAACTCAAATAAATGTAACTCATTTTGTTTTCGTGACATATTTCTTTTGTTTCTCTCTATCCAAAACCAAAACTGATGAACTTCAATCCATAAGGGGGCTTCTGTGGTTTCAAAATTGCTTGGAAACAGAAATTCCAGTTGCATCATTACCCTTGTGGTGGGTTCCTCAAATTTTACTTGATGTTGTTTTGTATTTTTGTTTGAATTACTATGATATGAATGTGCAGTGCACTATGACAGACTTTACTTTCCTGCATATCTGCATAATGATACTCTGGCTTGCGGAGAAAGATAAGGGATGCTATACACGTTCTTCTGAGAGGCATGTCTTTTTGGTGGTTCGGAGCCTTTTGCAAAACGTCTTCTATAATCTATACAGACTAAATCACTGTTCAAACATACTTAGATGAAGTTTCCGTGTGCAATTGCAATTTGAACACAGCCTCTAGTTGATTACTTTGAAGGAAGGAATGAAAATTCAATGTAGGGATCACAATTAGGCGTTGTTAATCGTGAATACTGTGCAGGCTCTGGTTGCAATTTTTTTCTCCCAATTATTATTTCTTCGTTAAACTCTTTAAGGTTTCTTGATAAATGTTCATAATCAAGCAAAGCAGCACAGTTCAGATGAATTTTGTCAAAGGAGTAACTAAGAAGGAAACAAGGATGAATCTCATTCTTCAGATTCACATGACTTTAGATAAAATATATCACAACAGCTCATCACTTGGAGGACACCAGTACACCACATTCTCCTCTATAACTCTTGTCATGAAGGGGCTTCGCCACCATTTATTTAAAGAATGCACAGTTGCTTGTTCTCATAAATAAGCTTTAGGTTGCTTGATAATTATTGTGTTAGAGGCACACTCAAACTATTGGACAATTGTTTTTGGAAGGGATTACGCTCAGGCTCTTTCTGAAATGAATATTGCAAAGAAGTAGAGAAAGTGAAAGCAAGAGAGCTGTGCTGATTGTATTCCATGCTGAAGTTTTCCTTTTAACTTGAGGCATAATTTGAGCGGAAAGTATGATTCATGGTTACAAGAGTTAAATGAGGAAAAATGTTACTGGGAGTTTCATAGCTTGCTCATAGAAAAGGTTGAAATCATCTGTTCTGGGTGCCAGATTTGAGTTACTTGACTGGTGGAAATAAATACTTAAAGTGACTGCAAATATTTAGAAGCAATATCTATTGCCATCTTTTGGTTGTGCTAACAAGAATAGTGCTGTGAGAAATTGTTCAGAAAAAGCTGAGATAAATTTGTTATGAATGTGAAGGTGGATATCCATAGCTGCTCTGTACCTTGATTGTTTACTTTGAGAACTTGGGCTATAACCATTGGACAATAAGAAATAAAGCATGAAAATAAAATTATAAAAAGTCAAAATGATGACTATGGTCTTCAATCTTAAATAAGTAGATTGACTAGAGTTATTAGAAATAAATGTCAATGTTTAGAAACAAGTCATTTTATATAGAATTATTAGAAACAAGCCCTTTAAATCCCCTTACAGTGAATAATGCGCAAAAAAGTGGGGAGGGGGCCACATCGTTCATTTAGCAATTAGCAGTGCAATCTTACAAATATGAACACAAGGCAAAAGAAAACGATTATCATTTATCGCGAGGACCAGTGGTATCAATGAATAATGAAAGCTTCAAATTAGACATTCTAGAAAAGATAAGAAATTGAAAATAAATAAATAAATATATATATATATATATATATTCTACAGAAATTCTATCTTTAAATGATAAGTCATTAGACAGATGTCATCAATCAGAAACACACATTAGACACTTCTCGGTAAAAGCTTGCATATAATATAATTACATTGATATTGCAATTTCTCTAAACAACACAAAATAATCGAACTCTTAACTTCCACATTCTAACTAGAATAGCTAAGCAGTTCATATTTCTTCTGAGAGCAATAAAAAAGGAGTCAGAATCAGACCAGTATCCGAAGACAGTTAATGGATTTAAAGAAGGCTAATTCAGATTAGTAAACTGTAAACAAATGTCATGCAGATTTATATATTAAAAAATAGGAAAGCCATGAATTACGTTGACAGAACTTCAGGAGGAAAACAATCCATGAACCCAGAAGATATTTTCCTTCTATAATAATCTCCACAAAACTTGCATCGTGGTAGCATTTTAAGTATCATCGAAAACAGGAGTAGCATGTCTAATTACATTGTCACTGGTTCAGTAATTTTGAACTGTGCCGTCCAAGACACATCAGGTATATCAATAACAAACTCACAGGATAAGAGACCATAACATTCAGGAGTTCCCGCCAGAAGATAAAGGCCAATTAGGCTCAGCTTTACAGCAAGCATAAATCTAAGCTCAAATTCGTTCATCAGCTTCTCAGCTTCAAGTGTATTCACAATCTAAACCCAGATTTCCGAGTTTAGATCAAACTTTCCTCACAGTTCAGTTCAGCAGCATCAGCAACTAGAGAAGTGCCAGACAATTCTTAAATTTACAAGATGAAAAGGTGGCAACTTAATAATGGGCCCTCTCATCATTCTCTAAATGCAAGCTCTCAATGCCCCTGACTGCTGATTCATAATTCTTGACATGAGAAGCATTTCTTCCAGAAGATATTCTCTTTGCATCTGAAGCTCCCAGTGGTGAATTTCTATGCCCGCTTGAAATTCTGTGAGCAGCTCCAGGGCTAGCTTCAGTAGTGCGAGTTCGTGGATCCAACTCCCCACCAACAAACGCATCGCGGCTACTTGGAACAGCAACACGCCGAGATGACCCACTTGACTGACCCAAAATATTGTTGCTTGGAGACTGCATGACAGAGAGATAATGGCCGTTGAAATAAGCTGAAATATTAAAGTTTGTTTATGAATTGACATCATAACACATATTGAAGAGGAATGGTGACCAGGTTCCTCAATGAAACTCATGATCTCCAAAATCCAAACAACTGACCATGGTATCCATAAATATAAGGATTATTGGTGACTGGATTTTTCTGCTCTGAGAAACTTACAGAATTTAACATGGGGCCTGACATTCTTCGCCTCACAGAATCCATCGAAACAAGACCAGTAGTTCGCCCTTCATCCCCTCCTGTCAGGGAGATAGACAAGCCAGCATAAATCAGCTCAAATGAAAACAAGCTACTTTCAGAATCTTAAAAAAGATAAAATTGGAGAAAAAGACAAGACAAGCTATCATAAAAACTAGTCTAGCTGAAAGAAAAAATTGGAAATACCAAAGGTACAGGAGACTATACTCTTCAAATATCAATAAATGATTGGGGAGCAACAACACACACATAGAAGGAACACATTGATTGTGCCAAGGATAGTGGTTACACAATAAACAAGGAAAGCCAGGCACTTGCGGATTAAGCATACCAAGGTAACACAATTGTGAATCAAGTATACCAAAAGGGCATAGATGGGACATATGACCTATCAATAAAGTAACTTGAAAAAAAAAAAATTACCAGTCTGTCTATCAGCATTAGCCACAACAGCCGGCATTCCAGAACTAGTCCCAGCACTTGGGCCCTGAAAAATAACCATCTCAAACTTTAAAACATTGATCATAAAAAAAAGGATTCAGGGAGAAACAAGAAGAGAGAGACAATTACAAGGGCACGTGCAGGAGGAGTAGCCAGTTGTGATTGTTGGTACTTCAAGATAGTCCAGTCAAAGACATAGTCAAACTGGAAGCCTGTCAAAGTTGTCACAAAATGCAATTAAGAAAGCACGTTCGCATGATCCTTCAAAAATTGAAATGAAAAGTATTTTTCGAAGTATACATGTGGTCAACATAAAATAACAGACTAAAGAAGAGATTTCTAAAAGACAAGTTCAAACCTTCCCGAATAAAGAGGTCACGAAATATCCTTTTCAGGTAAGCATAATCTGGCTTATCATCAAACCTTAATGACCGGCAGTAATGGAAATAAGATGCAAATTCTGTTGGATAACCTCGGCACAAGGCCTGGAATGAACAATATGTTTTCAGTGAAACTGAAGAAATATAGCCCGTGCTATGCACCAGTAGCGGATAGCAATAAAACTTACCTCAATTGAGGTAGAAACCTTCTTTTCACTAATTTTCTCATATTTCTGTTTCTTAGTACCAGCTTTAAGTCCCTGCCAAGGAAGACTACAAAGAAAATAAAAATTAAACACAAATTTTGCAAAAAAGCATTGGAAAGAAAATAAAGGGTAGATGGCTATAATGACCTTCCTCTCAGAAAGTACATGAGGACATAACCAAGAGACTCTAAATCATCTCTTCGGCTTTGCTCTATGCAGTGATCATCACAAAAGAACAAACATCATATATCCAACAGAGAACACCACAACTTATCATTAAAAAAAATAGCAGTGAAATATATGATGACACAAACCAATGCCAAGGTGAGTGTTCATGCTAGCATATCTTGCAGTTCCTGTCAAATTCTTATTTTCCCTGCAGTTTTAATGATTAAATAGATCACACATCCAGTGAATCTTGTGTGTAATAAACTACTGGGAAAAAAAGGCTCAATTATTTATTGTCATAAATTCAGGATAAAAAGGGGAAAAGATGAAATGAGAGGCCTGTAAGCATGTGAAGATCTCACACACACGAGACCCCTTCTCTCCTGTTTATAACCCTAGAAAATAGACATTAAGAAGAAGACAATATTAAAGATAACTAAGATTCCTAGACAACAATCAAATTGCAATTCAAATTGTGTTGAGGCTAAATTTTAAATCAAGAACTGTATCAAATCGAACAATTTAGAAACACATTGAATGATAGCTTGAAATATATATCACATAAAAAGTGTATACTACTTTAAAATAACTCAATAATAAATTAAACCAAGGGTTAACAAAAATTTAAGTCTCAAAAAAGGAAAAATATAAGGCTCATAACCAACTATCTAACTAGTAACTTAAAAATTAAGAAAATAATTGAAACCAAAAAAAAAAAAAACTCTCCAACTGATTTCCATATTGCATAAGTTTGGGTTTCAGGCGTGTACTGTGTATTGTATAATTGTGCTGTAAGGTGGTGTGATGTTCAAGCTTAGTGCATGCTGTGATGTCACTGTGCAGTGTGTATATGAGGCTCAAAGTGATAAGAACTGAAATATTAAGCTAGATTTCTTGTGGCCTCCCAAACCATTACCCTCCTTGGCACCCCCAAGCAAAATTCAGCATAATAAGCATGGTATGCGTGATGCAGTAGTTAACACTCGGCATAGGACCAACAAAAAGCTCTAGCTAAAATATGTATTATGCAAAGAGGGCAAGATTTATTTTGTTATTTAGCTTATTATTGCAACCATATGTTTGTAGTCATTCAAATGGGCTGATAATGCAGAATTATTTATTTCCTGATCTTGGCAAGTCTCGTACAAAGTTTTCAAGAAAACAGGTTATTGATCCAGTTTATTATTGCAACAAAACGGGCTGATAATGCAGGATTTTTTGCAATCATAATCTTGGAAGTGATTACTTCATCCTCCGTATTACTTCCTTATCCTGATTAAGCAAACTCATTTGTTATTACATCCTAAAAAAGGCATTAAAACAATGACATGAAAGCGCACACATTTCCAAAAATTTTCTGACATGCAAGATCATGACATAAATTTCATTCTCCTACAGAGCCCAAGCAGCAGCAATAAAACTAAACTTGATACACATCACAAATCGTCATACCTGTAAGGAATGTGTTGATGAGTTGAACTATCTCTATATTTCTTGGCCAAACCAAAGTCAATAATATAAACCTAAATGCAGATAAATGTCATTAACTACTCTTATAACAAACATTAAGACAGCTAACAAATCACATGTAAATAAGATTAGCCACCTGGTTTGCACGCCTTCCTAAGCCCATAAGAAAATTATCTGGTTTGATATCCCGATGTAGAAACGATTTAGAATGAACAAACTCAACTCGGTTGATCTAGAAAATGATGCCAAGATCATAAGCTCTTATATTGAATATTGAATTAAATATATATCTAAATTACAAAGTTAAAGGTGCCTACCATTTGATCTGCAAGCATGAGAACTGTCTTCAGTGATAGTTTCCTGCTGCAGAAGTTAAATAGATCCTCAAGACTGGGTCCAAGCAGATCTATCACTAGAACATTGTAATCTCCCTCCACTCCGAACCATCTAACATTTGGAATTCCAGCTGTCAAGACAAAATCCAATATTAGGATGGCATAAAACTTACAACCAAAAGGGGAGGAAAAAAGTCTTCATAGAGAAGTGTATAATGATACAAAAAATAAAAGTAAAATATATAAAGAGTCAATACTTCCTCCCTGGAGAATTCTGTACAGCTTGGACTCATACAACAACTGAGGATGCTTTGTCTTGACATTTTCCTAGCACACAGGAAAGGGAATAAATAAAAGAAACATAAAAAAAAAATCAACTCTAGTGCACTTGAAGATACAGGAACCATCTTGATGGTTACTTCAAGTAAGATACAACTAGGAATTAAGAAGTTTCTCTAACCAATGAGCTATCGTCAAGGGTCATATGCATTAAGCTGAAAATGCAATCATGAAAGATGACTCTCATTACTAACACACATGCCCACTCATAATATGTCACATACAACAACTTTTGTTCCTGAAAAAAGAATAATGCATGGACAATAAGTGCCTCTAAAAGAGTATAACCTTGCACTTAAATATGGTTTCCACCCTAGAGTAAAAGAAGAGTAATTATTTTCAAACCTCTAATAACATTATGACATCTTACAACCAATGACCAGTTTGATTTTGCTCTCAACTAGAAAATCTTGTTAGCTTGAGGAAGATTCCAATTCTTAGATATATTAAAGATATCACTTTTTAAAAAACAGAAATAACCTCGACAGCAAAACCCAAGCCCCAGCTAATGAATTTAGCATGACATCATACAATACTTAAAAATACGAGAATATGATGATGTAAGTAACAATACTTTCTGATAGTCTGATTCCTCCACTACATAACTTCCATTTGTCCCTCGTTTATTAGAATTAAAATTGGTTTAGGCAAAAACGTTAGGAGCATTGGTCAAACATGGTCAGAAATGGGTTGAAATGATTCAGAACGCCAGAAACAATTTTGTGAAACCAACTTAAAGTGGAAGAAGCATAAACTGTGAAAAATAATGTCCTTAATACGCGATAAATTTTAAAAAATGAATTAAGATACACTTCCCGAGATTAAAAATCTGCTAAAAACTCTGAAGTTGGATTGCAAACAGCCCTGAGTTGCAAATTAGGACTGAAAAGACCAATTTCTAAATGCTCCGGTGTATGTACCTTTAGACCCCTTTCCAATGATTGCTACCTATCACAATCCCAACTTAGCAAAGAGGAACCAGCTCAGCAAAGACGTTGGAATCAAATAATAAAAGCATATAGCGATCTTTCGTAGCAATCTTTTGGCACTCCCAAATTAAGACGGCAAGGTATTGACGCAACTCAAAACCGCGCTTTCAAACAACTATAAACAGAAATTGACTTCAAATAAAACCATCCCCTGAAAATAACTTCATAGGAAAAAAAAATGCAAACCCATCTCCTGTAATTAACTTCGCAAAAAAAAAATAAATAAATAAAGAGCAAAAGTAATATATATAACACTTACAAGCTTAATTGCGACCTCTTCGTTAGTTTGAATATTAGTACCTGCACACAACCAGGGGGGAGAACTACCCTATCAACACCATGCCCAGAACAATATAAACAGCAAGAAAAATAAAAAAGATAAAAGGAAACAAACCTAAATAGATCTCTCCAAAGGAACCACTGCCGATCTTTCGGCCGAGCCGAAACTTATTGCCAACACGGGGTTCCATTCAAAAAGCAAAAAAATGGAAACCCTAAGCTAACAGCAGCACCTAATTCTAAATAAGAAAAGCATGCAACACCTATTCTCAGCACCAAAAACTGGAATCCATTAATCCGATGCGAAAGACGAACAGTTAAAAAGAAGAATATTTTTTAAAAAATAAATTCAATAAAACGGTGAAGGGGAAAAACGAAGAATTTCTTCAGAGATCTGGGCGTAGGAAATCTCCAATATGAGAAAAAGTAAGCCTTTTTTTTTGGTTTTTGATGAATAATAATTACAAAATCTAGGGTTTGGTCAGGTTAAGAGAAGGGGAAGGGTTATTGGTTAAAGAAAAAGTAAGGAGGGAAGGTCATGGTGAAGGAAGTGGGTGACTGGGCGCTCTCTCTCTCTCCCCCCCCACTAATTCGAATATGGTTTTGTTTGATCCAGTCGAAGCAAAGAGCAATGCAAGATTATTGCAACCGTCGGTTATTTTGGTTTGTTTTTTTTTTTTTTTAACTTTTTAGTTTTTGGGATACATTGTCTGATAGGATTATTTATCACACCAGGAAATGAGAGGCGAGTCTATGCGTGTGTGGCGTGTAATCTACGTGTGGCCACTACGAAAAGAAGCATTCGCGCCGCTGTCACTGGGGGGTCCCACCGCCACTTGCTTTATCAAGCACCATCATCCATCCAGGATTATCGCCGAGCGTCGTATGGCAAGGACGGACGTAAGGTGACTCATGGGCCATGAGGTGTGATCTTCTGTTACAATTTTTCAAAAAAATGAAGCAATGATTTTACCTTTCTATAATTTAAAAACTCAAAATCTGCACGAAATACTCATCCACAAAACATAACATGATATTCATTAATATTTAATACAATATTGATGAATACTCAACATAATATATATACTTTTTCAGTTGATTTGTGGATTGATTAAAATATAAAAGTCACATAGAGCATGTATGATATAATGTCCATGTTTGTTTAGTTGATGAATAAGTTTAATAAAATGTACAAGTTATATAAATAATGTAGGACATAATATTTATAGATATACAACACGATATTCAAACATCTTCAACTGAATGTCCATATGTGTCAAGTTAACTAGTAGGTTTAAAATATACAATTTACATAGACAATATACCACAAAATATTCATGAATATACAATATGATATTCATCAATCCAACACAATGTACATGTGTGTTCAATTGATTAGTAGATTTAATAAAATATAAAAGTTATGCAGATAATGTACAACATAATATTTATGGAAGCACAACACGGTGTTCATACATTCTCAATTGAACACCCATGTGTATCAAGTTGATCATTTCACTACTTTCAATTTGTTTCTTTCATTTTGATTAAGGGTAGAATTGTAATCTCACTCTTAAAAAAAATTGAAACAACGTCTCTTAAGCCTGCAATGCATTATCAAAATTTATTAGATCCAATGTGTAATTTTTTATTTTTTGAGACTTGTAATATGATTTTCCTTTATAAGTTACATTAATACAAGGAGCGTCTCAACTTCAACTCTCGAAACAAATTACTCACTATGTATGGCTTAAAAAATTCTAAAACATTCCTGCAGGTTCAAGGGTGCAAATTACAATTAATGTTGTTGGTCCAGTTACCAAAATGCCCTTGCCTTTTATTTAAAAAAAAAGTTTCTAGTTGTCAACAACTAGAGCTCCACCACGGCTGATTCCATACTAATGCCACTAGCTGTCAGAACTCTAGCACCAGTACGATGGTCAACAATCGATCAAATGATCAAATGTGCTAAGGGGTCAAGGATAGATTTGAACCCTTGACCCTTGGTTCCTCAAAATGAAGAGAGCCTTAAATAAGCACTTTAATATATATAGTTTAAAATCATATATTCCCTTCGATAAAAAATATAAAATATTTTTAATTAAATTTTATTTCAATAAAGTAGTTATTTGCCTTTAAATTAATCATATATTTTCATATTTTACTCCTATACAATAGAATATTCCACCCTAAAATAAATATAAATTGACTTATTCAATAGGGATATTTTTAGAAAAAAATTATTACATCTTAAAAGATTAAAAATGTCTTACATTTTTTAACATCTAATCTCTCAAAAAAATTTATATTTTTTAACAGAGGGTGTATATATATATATATAGTAACTTTAACTTCCAAGTATTTTTACCTGTTGTTGCATATTTTGGACATTTTATTATGTATATCCAAACAATCACTTCTATATATTCAAACATTACTTATTTATACATGAAAAAATTGTCAATTTTTTAAAACTAATTTATTCTATTTTCACAACTTGTTCATTTAATATTAACAAGTTATCAAAATTATATTAAATAAAAAATACATGTTTTAATTTATTTTTCAAACATTTTCACGGGCTTTTATTAATCATGGATATCTTATTGTATTTATTGGAACAATCACTTGTACATATTCGAACATCACTTGTCCATACATTAAAAAAATTATCACTTTTTTAAAATTTAATTTATTCTATTTCAAATAACTTGTTCCTTCAATATTAACAAGTTATCAATATTATATTAAATAAAAAATATATGTTATAAATTTACTTTTCAAGCATTTTCATAGGCTTTTATTAATCATGGATATCTTGTACCATATATCTAAACAATTACTTGTACATATTCAAACAACACTTGTTCATATATAAAAAAATTTGTCAAATTTTTAAAATTCAATTTATTTTACTTTTCACAACTTGTTCCTTTTATGTTAATAAGTTATCAATATTATGCTAAATACAAAATATATGTTATAAATTTATTTTTCAAATATTTTCATGGACTTTTATTAATCATAGATATCTTACTATTTATATCTAAATAATCACTTATACATATTCGATCATTACTTGTTTGTGCATAAAAAAATTGTCAATCTTTTAAAACCCAATTTATTCTGTTTTTGAAAATTTGTTCCTTTAATATTAACAAGTTATCAATATTATACTAAAAAAAAATATATGCTATAAATATAGTTTCCAAGCATTTACACGGCTTTTGTTAATCATTGACATCTTTGGCAACTTCCATAGTTGTTAGGTCAACTTACACCAATCTTTGACAAAATTAAGGAATCAACATATAAGATTTGACAAGAGATCTTTGCATATCTACTAATGATCACTATTTTCATTTTCATGCCTGGTCATAAGAAAATGAAAAACCATAACTCATATATAAGTCTCGCCTTATCTCATTTGGTACTTTACACAATGAACACTTCAAATCATCTTTGATGACAAATGAAGCCAATGCTAAGTGAATGTGTTCATTATTAAAGGAATGCATATGTAAGAACTTTGAACCACACTTGTTGCCTAAGTAGTTATCTTCCATGAATACCCATAAATTATGTACTTCACTATCTTACTTCTTGCATTATTCTTGACATGCTTGTATGCAAACTTGTTTGCCAAACTATACCCGCACAATGATTCTTTGAATACACCTACATTGTTGAATATTTGCCCCAAGTTCAAAAGCAAGTCTTTCCATTTAGTTGCACCATGTAGTGCACTTTAAATTAAACATGAAAGCTCCTGACTTTCCTTATTCAATGAAGATCTAACAACAAGTGATTTAATTGAGATTTCTATACAATGTAACCCTTATGAATTCAACATAGGTTTTACTTCATTTCTACACTCATATATTTCAACAACATAAACATGCACAAACTTTTCATTAAATTCAACTAATTGTTAAACTCCTTCATCGTCTTTTAAGTCTATCATAATGATTTCATCTAATTATTATAATGTGCATTTCAATTCCAATCTCTTAAGTTCACACCCAAAATGTGAACATATTTTTCTTCTTAACTCATTAATTGACATTAAAGTACTTACTATCATTTTATTTTCTCTACCACCAACATGTTGCACCCTCCCTTCATTGATAACAATCTTTCCCCCTATACGAAAGAAATAGAATTTCTTTTGGCTCCTTACTCATAATAATGTTATATACACTTGTTATTTTCAATGTGAAAGGGAAAAAAACATCCATTAGTGAATAATTATAGCATGATTTTATCAAATTAAATTCTACATTAGATATCACTAACACTTGCAATGCGAGGCAATGCATTTATGGGAGGAGCAAGTGGCAGAGTCAACACTTGATTCAACCTCTTTCAGCAATAATCTAAAACTTAGACAACCAAACTCCACTGTTACCAAACAAAAATTGAAAATCAAACAATACTTCACTATCATTATCGAATATTCAACGAACTAGCCTAACAATTGTGAACTTAGCTATCAAACACAATCGAAGCTTCATCAAACTGAATGGAACGCTCAGAGACGATTGCGTGTGGAGAGTATGAGTTTTGTCCTATTATTTCTTTTCTTTCATTGAGGGCAATCTAGTAACTTGGTTGTCTAAAATTAATGCTAGTGAGGACCATGTTTTAGGAATTTACCGAAGTCCTTATCAATAAATAAATTCATGGTGAGGTTTTTTTGGACAATTTGTGCTATTTTATTTTAGCCTGTGCATTTTTTAAGTTTGTTTAATACTTCTTTTATTTGTGTTTCTCCTTTAGGGTTTGACATAATGGTGGGTAGAAAAACTTGTAAAATTAGGTCAACTGGGCTAACTTTAAATTAATAAACTAAATTGAATAGTTAAATCAAATCATTTTTTTTATTTTAATTCAATTTTGGTCATCATATAAAATTCAATTCAATTCAATCAAAATTTTTAGGTTAGTATGGTTCATCAATCTGTTCGACTTGGCACCAAACTGAATCAAACCTGAATCCTTAACAATGATAGAATTAATTTTTCTTTTTAAATTTCACCCTTCGTTCAATATTATATTATTTTAAATCTTAATTATTTCCGTTTACATTGTTCATTTAACCAGCGTATTATTAAAGACAAGTAACATTTATGTCTTAAAATGCTGAATAAAACATATACTATTTAGGGATAAAATGAAAATGTAAACCAGGGCAAATAAATATGAACGAAGAAAGCATATTAATTTTAGACAAATAGAAAATCTTTTATCATTAGAACGAGAAAAGTTTTACTTAAATTAAAAAAAATAGGGGCACTAGATGAAAAATCCAATTTTATATTTTTTCAACATTTTTAAGAAATTACGTGATTCTTTTTTTTTCTTTTTTGCTAGAATATTATTAAAAAAAAAACTTCAAAAGCAAGTAGTTTAACTAACTTCTGAAACCAAAACAATTAGCTGTTATAAACATCGATCTATGATTCTATATCAGTGTGCATTACGTGGAATCAAAGAAACAAACTATACTATTTCATGATTTGTTAAAAATCAGTAAAATTAATTGGACCTGGCCGTATTATTGCATTCGGCAATTTATTTATAATTTCGTTGCGGATTAAAGTTGTTTAGCTTAAAGATACTCTGTAAATGGTTCGGCTCACAGGTTACAATAATGCATCATGCATTCATTGATCAAAATGAATCTTCCTTAATGAGATTATATTATTAAATATATAGTTCTTGCACTGCTCGTATCATCAATGAGGTTGCTTAACATTGGGTTGAACTCTTTATTCATCATAAAGAATCCAGGTTGTCTATTGCTTTACAATCAACTGTGAAACAGTAACCCAGAATCAGTAAAGATGACTGTTCTGAGTATACAATCCATATGATGAGTGATGACTACGCATAGCTAAGAAGAATTTAAAGTCCCTTTTTCATTCTTTCTCTGGTTGTGATGAGTGATTGAGTGATTTGATTACACGCTACTGAAATGTCTTTCCAGTTCACACAGCATTTTCAATGGCGTAGAGTATGGTGTTGTCTCCTTTCTTTTCTATCTATTCAGATTTCCGAGTAAAAGACATCAAACACAAGATGTCTTACTGCTTCACAGTAGTGTTTCATATATCTGGGCTGATAGTTTTAATATTTACTCTTCATAGTTGAGGTGATTTCAGAAGATGCATTTTATTCTTACCTCAAACTGGGTTAAAAGAGAATCAATTTTACGTTCCAGGAAATCATAGAGTGAGCATCCCTAATTGCTTTATAGCTTGCCATCTTTACAGAATATATAGACTCAGCGAGAGTGAAAACCATAAAAGCCTATTGTTTGCTCATTTCTGTGTTTTTATTGAAAGGATTTTGACTTTTGCTAATGAAACAAATAAAAGCTTTTAATAATCCCTGCCCTATCATTTTCTTCCTTGGGGACCATTTGCCATTACTATTTTCATTCCACCAAACACAATACCAACATAACATCAAAATTACGGGCAAGAGGGGGCAAAAACAACACTGAAGATAAGAAATGCAACAAAATGTTTTTATTGAAGAACTTATGCCTGCTTGCAGTTAATAATTTATTGAATCCCTTCTTTACAAGGCTTTAAAACTAGGTCAAAGTTACAATGTTCCCCCTTCAGCTTACAAGGCATCCAAATTCAGCAAAAAAAGATAACGGATGAACAACTCAAGTCCAAAAAAAAAAAAAAAGAGGGCTTTTTCTTTTTGCCTCTCTCTCTCTCTCTGCCATTTTTAGCTGCTGTCATGACATGTGCCTTCAGTTAGAATTCGGGTCTCGTCATCTGTTTCGAAAAATTGATCTCATTAATTTTAAAAAGACAGTCACATTGTATATGAGACTTATTTGTATAAAAGACTCTACTTAAACAGTAGACTCCATAACAGGCATAAGTCTCACATACAATATACCAACTTGTTTTTAAAATTAACAAGATTAATTCATATACAAAAGTAAAAGGTTTATAAATCCCTTCACCAGTCAACCAATGGTAGACCCATTTTTGGTTAATAAACATGAAAGGGCCTGAATTCCTACCAGCCCGGGCTTAACTCCTTGCAGGAATAGGTGTCCTTGGACTGGGCAATCCCATGTATGAAAGCCTAGGTGAGACCTTCACTTTTGGGCTGGGCCTTGGCGAAGGAATTGGGCCATAGTTAGGAAGGGGCACTGAAGTGGGCCTAGGTGACAAATTCACTTGCTCCAATGCTCTTGATTGTAGATGTCCAGGATAGTCACGCACACACCCGATCCTGGGCCCAGCACCAGTAGACCACTTGCAGGATAGCCTCTCGGAAAAGTCAAACACTGAGGCTTCATCCTTCTCAGCACCAACCTTTGTACCCTCTTCACTGACCTCCTTTGCATTGCCTTCTTGGCCATTCTTATCACTATCATGAATTGCACTTGACTGAGAAGTTAAGGTGGTAGGACCCAAGTTTTCCTGTGATTCATTAGTGCCTATGCATGAAGGCGCATCATCATCAATAGCACATCTCTGCAGCCAAACAAGCAAGATAACTATCAGCTAATTTGTCTTCTATATTTATGGTTCAAATCAAAAGAAGACTAATCGAGTTTGGTTTAAGGAAGAAATATGATCACTAACCTTGACATTGGCGAGGTCTACGTTGTGGTCGTCGAGGAAGGTGATGAACTCTTGGAAGTTCTCTTCTGTGGGGTGGTAGTGACCACTGTAAGGCCAAATAGCCTCCAGGACTCCTTGATGGGCCACTAATCTGCCTGCAGCTGTGGTTGCAGCCCCAGATAGAAAGCTTGAGTGCTGAAATGAACCTTTTTGTTTTCGTCCTACATACAAACTTCTTGTCGTGCTTAAAACAAATATCCATTTGGACTTGTCGTCGGTATCCACCAGCCTCCCATCCAGCTTGTATGTTAGCTTCCCGTTTTCAACAAGTACTTCATATTCTTCCCTTTCCTTCTGCAATTGTAATGAACACAGTTATGTCAGATACATGAGACTCATGTTGACAGAAATTAATGATTTTGACATCTAATTTTTCTAAGGTACTTTTCAGATGATCTATTCACCTAATTGCATAGCATAATACTGGTGCAATAACTTACCGGTCCAAGGTATTTAATGCATTGACGTTGAAGCGTGGTCCTTTGGCATTTCTCAAGATTAATTTCTTTGCCATCTCCAACATCCAGCCTACATTGACAGAAAAGAGAGTTAATCACCCGGCAGATGCTTATGATGTTCATAGCTAAGAGAAGATCATAATATCAGAACAAGAGATTACCAGTAGAAAAATGGTTGACTGCTATGACTTTCAACCAGATATCATAATATAAATGCAGATTGTGTCCATAACGATGACGTGGGTCAATCTGTGTAAAGAAATTAAGAATGTTGATACCAGATTATACGGGTATTGAACAAGATTTAAGATCGGCATTAGGAGAATTAAAGGATTAATACTTACAGCTTCAAGCCAATGTCGGAGAGCTAGTTTTTGTGCTTTGTCGTCCTTGGACAAACCTTTTCCCACCTGTGTTAGAAAGGCCATTAGTATTTGTTAACACACTCCAAATAAAACAATACGAATCAATGTGAAAATAACAGAAAGAACTCGAGAGAAACATGAATTCATTATTCGTTGTTGTTGTTATTATTATTATTATTATTATAACAAATTGTATACCTTAGCTGCTCTTGTCCTTGCCCTCGCCCACCGTGATTGGGCGGTCTCCGGCTTCTGGACATCGAAAAATGAAACTGAACTCCGTTTCAGTGCAGCAAAGTCTAGCGCCTTCCACCTACACACACCATTCAATTCATGACATTAGTATTTGAAAGAAATTTAAAGAGAGGAGGACATGATCTGAAACCCGCTAGTAAAAAATGAGAATAGTTCCTTCTCTCTATCCTTTTTTTAATTGCATTAATTACCATAAATTAAAAAAGATGGCAAAAAATGAAAAAAGATTTGAAACCAGGATAATGATTGAGAAGCAGACACTAACCAGAGCTCCTCCACCACCACGGCACAATCTGCGAGGTTTCTTCTCGTTCGGTAACTCTTGTAGACTTTCTGGAGCTTAGTTGCAGCAGCATCAAGTTCATTCATGGGCCTGGGTGAAGTAAACACCACTGATCCTGGCAGAGCAAGAAGAGGTACTGGTTTGTGAGGCAAATCAATATCACCCATGTTTTCCTTTTCCGACGAGACATTAACATTTGTTTCTAGAGGCACCATCTCAGGTCTGCGATCCCTCAACCGCCTTGAACTACTGATGCTATTGTTGGGCCCACTTGACGACGGACTAGTTTCTGATTCTTCTCTTTTCTTGTTGAAGCTGGCTGCTCTCAGAATTTTAGCTCCATCTTTAGATCCAAACCTGAAGTTGAAAGACAGACCAAATAACCAATGCCTCGCGACTTTTTCACGCGCTGATAACAGTAAAGAAAGTGATAATCCCATAAGGCTACACCTCCAACTCCAAGCTTCAAATTGGTTGAGTCCTGCAAAATTAAATAAAATAAAGACACAGAATACAGATCATCTCAATTGAATTTCAAGCTTCAAGTTGAGGGAATAGACACGGATTATCAACAGAGAGCTTCAGTGCATGGGAAATTTACCTTGTTTGTGGATCTTGTCGGGTTTGGTAACCCTCCCTAGAAGTGTCTGGCTCAAGAGAGATGAAGTCTATGGGGAAGAAAATAACATATATATAGGGCAGGTAGCTACATAAGGTGTCTGACGAGGACAGATAGTCCAAATTCCGGAGGGTCGATCTTCAGAGGCGTGTCAAAGACTGGAAAAGGAAAGAAAGGAGAAATGTTTGAATTCCACTAGGAACTTAAGTGACACACGTTGGAAGTGGGTGAGGAATGAGATCGAAATCAAAGGGTATGCTGATTGTATTTTCAAGGTCCAAAGCCACGAGTTGTTTGAGGGATTCAAAGCAAGAAAATGGGAAAGAAATATGGCGTTTTGGTATTTTGCGCATAATGTGGGAGTTTTATAAGGGGGCCGATGATATTTTTTGGGTTTAATGTATAGGGTAAGAATCATGTCCGAGCCAGAATTTAAGCTTGATTCATTACATTATAAAAGCTAAAAAAAATCATAACTTTAAATTTCTCTATTTTATTCATATTTTATTATTGATCTCTATTTTTTTAATGTTAAAATACATAAATTAAAAATATCAAAAAAAATACAGAAACTAATAATGAAACGTGAAAAAAGTATATAAACTTAAAGTTATATTTTTTATAAAAACTAATTACTTTCACCAAATCTAAAATTTAAATGAATTAAATGTTCATTAAGTCGGTACATGTTTTTAACTTAATTTTTTCCTTTTACAAAAATACTCACAAATTGTTGATCTAATTTTTTTTATTTTACAAAAATACTCACAAATTGTTGATTAATAAAGTCATCATATCATATTAAAAATAGAATTAATGATCAACTTATAAATTATGAACCAAATTTGCTTTGAAAACTTTCGGGTGAGTTCTTTTTAATTCATAACAGTCAGCGACCACCGGCGTGAGAATGCGGGGCTAATCCGCTGAAGTCATTTCCCGCGTTTCGTGGGTTACGTGTCAAGCAGTCGATCCATTTTATTTGATCTTGTTTTGGCCGGTATATATTATTTTTAGTTTCTTTTATCTTAGCTTATTTTCCCGTTTATTCTGTGTGTGTAAAAAATAAAATCGCACGTTATTCATGAATCATCCTAATGCATTTTCTTTTTTTTTTTTTTGGGCTGCAAATGATGCATTTCATTTTACGCAGTCCAAAAAACATTTTACTTTAAACTCAGATATGTTCATTTTTAGAGAAATTTATATGGTGCGCAATTTATTGAATTATTTTCTCACCAGGTTTTCGTTTATTACGTTATTGCTATCTTTGTTTAGCAGTAACTTTTTTGCGATGGCCGCGACACTTTCCACTTGTCATAATAGATTGAAAAATTTAAAGAAGAAAATAAATCAAAAGTAAAATGTAAGAAAGCTGAGATAATTGTTGAGATTGATCATCACAAAGTGAAAAGTCTGCAAGAAAATAATATAAAGGCACAAAACTCAAGGAAGACCAAATAATAACGTGACATGTTCATCACATAGAAATAACACAAAACATGCATGATTTTGAAACCGCTCCATCGCGATTTCTAAACACATCTTAACATAATTCGTTAGTCACTGTCGTCTTAGAAGTCTGTGAGATATATAAATTAGTAAAATTTTATCTGATGTATGCATAAATATTTTTTTTTCATTCTGCAATTGTTTAAAAAAAGGATATTTTCTCATGTAAATTATTTTTAATTAATTTATGTCCTTTTATACAGAGATAACTGTGGAATGTATACGTCTCGTTTAATTTTATATTTTACAAGTTTGTATGTCTATTATTAATATCTCCATTATCCTTTTTTTTTGTCGGGAAAGAAAATTTCATAAAAGGGAAACAAGATTACAAATGCTAAGGAAACAAACACCACCTAATACAAGAAATTAAACAAACCATTAAACCAAAACAAAGAGAAAAGTACTAGAAAGACCAAAGACTCAATGGCGAAGCAATTGCTGTACATGTTGAAAAGGTGATGATCAAACTCTCAACTAATGTGATCCAAAAAGTGGCAATGAAGGATGGTTGTCTTAGGACATGCTCGATTAAGCCCAGTCTCTTTGTTGCCATTGCTGTAACAATACAAGTAGCTTTAAAAACTCCTTCAATGGAAGGAAAAGGAACCATATGAAATTCAGTAACAACTCTCAAACTAAAAAGGACCATGATCAACTAGAGCTAACAATCACTAATAATCCACAGAGCAAGGAGAAAAGGAGGACAACTAGAAACACACAAAAGAGACATGACAAGACACCAAGACGCAAGCAAGAGCACAAAAGGGACAAAAAACAAAACATCAACAATGTTATCGAGTACCCCATAAACTTTAACAACACCTAAAAGAATAATTGATGATTCTTTGGTGGCTAGAGACCAGCCACCAAAGATATCAAAAAACACAAACATGGCAATTAACCTAACTATTTTTAAGTTGTTGAACAGAACAATATCATCATTAGTTTGCTCTATAAAACACAAATTCTTGCTAACATTTCCTTCTTCCACTTCTAGACTTGCCACATTTTGCGTTTCCATCCTCCCAATGCTTAGTTCGCTCTCGTACTCCAACTCACAAATTTTGGAAGCCAATTGAGCCACAATAAATAGATTCAAAGAATTGCTTCTTTTTTTTTTTTGCTTTTTCAGCCCTGTCGTTTTGCAGTTATTGGCACTTTGTAACGTGATGCTCCACCATCTTAATGTATCTTTAACTTTAATGCCCGAGTTGGGACTCAAAGTTTAAATCTCATTATAGTCCTTAAAGCTTGTCCCTCGCCCCATTTATCCCTTCAACTTCCTCTGAAAATTAATCCGTTCATCACCCTCACTAGGCCTCTTATTGTGATTCTCCTCTCACTTGACGGGTGCTAAAAAGGGGACCATTGAAACCCCCATGTCATTGCCGCGCAATCTCCCACCATGGAAAGAACCAAGACAAAGACATGCTTCGACCAAAACCTTAAGAGAGAAATCTCTAAGATGCCGAACGGTCACTTTTTTATTATTCTAATAATTTTGAATTCACTAGACCCAACTAATGTCTCGTTTGATATCCTGAAAATATTTTTAATGAAAATAAAAATAAAAATAAAACTAAATATGAAAATGGGAATGAAGGTGGAAGTGAGTTTTAAAAATATATTTGGTATGTACATGAAATTATGATATACTTTCTATTTAATATATGCATTTATATAATTAATATACTAAAATATTCCTGTTAATTTTTTTAATTATGATATACTTTTTATTTAATATATACATTTATATAATTAATTTACTAAAATAACCTTATCTATTTTTTAAATTATGATATACTTTTTTATTTAATATGTGCATCTATATAATCAATTTACTAAAATACCCCTGTTCATTTTTTTAATTATGATATATTTTTATTTAATATATGCACTTATATAATAAATTTACTAAATACCCCTATCTATTTTTTAAATTATATATTTTTAATTAATATATGTATTTATATAATCAATTTACTAAAATATCCCTATCTAATTTTTTTAATTATGATATACTTTTTTATTTAATATGTGAATCTATATAAGTAATTTACTAAAATTCCTGTCAATTTTTTTAATTATGACATATTTTTATTTAATATATGCATTTATATAATCAATTTATTAAAATACTCCTATCTATTTTTTTAAATTATGATATACTTTTTTATTTAATATATGCATCTATATAATTAATTTATTAAAATATCTTGCCAATTTTTTTAATTATGATATATTTTTATTTAATATATGTATATTTACTAAAAAAATTTTGATTTACTTCAATGATTGATGAAGGGACAAATCTATCAAATAATTTTATAAATGAAGTTATTTTTGTCCAAAAAAATTCACTTCCATGGAACCCATCTCATTTTCATGGGTCTTATCATGGAATTTAATTCAACTTATTTTGATGGATTTCATTTCCACATAAAAATTCATTTCATGCATACCAAACAAAAAAAATTGTAAATTACAATTCCATTTTCATTTTCATGTCTCAATTTCTAACATACCAAATGAGGTATAAAGTATCTTTGAATTTTAAAAAATTTGGGTCTTTTATATTTTGACATAAATCTAATAAGTTTAAATATTGAATCCATTATATTTAAATTTAGATTATTTTTATAAAAATATTATTACAAATTTATTTTTAAATAAATTAACGTAACGCTACGTTAATTCAAAGCACGTGATGGAGCACACATGATTTTGCCTTTGGTCGTGGCCATGCTCCTGTGGAAAATGGAAAGTGGAAACACATCCTTAACATGGACCCACCTTGACCCTAGTTCTCCAAGAATATACTTTGAATCAAAAAAATTTATATTAAAACTTTTTAAAATTTGTTCAAATTATTAAAAAATTAATATAAATAGCTTTGCTTATAATTAACCAATAAAATATCATAACCAGGTAAAAGGTATATAAAAGTAAGAAAAAAAAAGCATCAAAGATATCAAAAAAAATTTAATTTTTAAAAAATATTTTAAAAAATTAGTTTTTATTAAAAAGGTTGAAACAAACAAGTCATTTATAGGTTAAAACTAAATTATGTTGGCCAGTCTATTGGACAAAACCGCGTCCTTGTGGAACCACGAATGTTGGAAAATAAACCGACAACATATGTACGTACAAGTTGGTGGGGTCGACGCGCCATCACACACCCGTTTATATAAATTTACAATTTACAGTTTATAATTTACAAAAATTTTGAAGTCAACTGACAATGTCTTTATCCAAGAGATTATCAAAAGCATGTTTGATTTTTAAAAATAAAAAATAAATAAATTGTTTGAGTACGTATTTTGAATTTAATTGATTTCATTATTATTCTTATATTTTGTTTGTTAGAACAAAAAAAATGTTAAAGTTGTTTTTATTTTATTTTTCTTACTTTTAAAATGCAATATATTTGATTATTAAAAATATACTTAGTTTGATTAATTTTAATCATAAACTATCATTATTAACTATTTGAATTATTACTATTAGTTTTTTTAATTCTAATTTTTTTAAATTAACGAAACCAAACTGGTT